GGAAGGGGTAGCAATACATTCCGCCTGATGCTTGATCACAGCATTCGTGATATATCAAATGAGCTCTCCGATCTATGATGAATAGTTCTTTTCTATAGTGACTTTGGTCAGGAAAGGAAATAGGGCACTCTTGAAGAAGGGCCTACTTCCGTAGGGGTGAAGAAACCTCCTTCTCTTATAGGAGAGGTATGGAATCGCTCGAGCAAAGCGAGAGGGGCTAATAAAAGAATGAAAAATAAAGTCTTCAAGAAGTGACAGAAGGAATCATAAAAGAAATAGCTTTCGACTAAAGACGCAGACGATGAGCAAAAGTCTGCTTTAATAAAGTAGCTCGGGGGAACCTTAAGACAGGACATCGGGGCGAAGGTATGAAGGTACGGCAATGCAGCCCAGTCTGGTCTGAGGAGGAGTGGGACTGTGAAAGCTGCAGCAAAGGGAAAGGACTTTCACCAGTTTCTTGAGTGAGCAGCGGATGTTGGTGAAAAAAGGAAGTTGAGTTCAAGTTTGGAGCACATGGCATAAGCCAAAGATCCCGGGATGACTCTAAAAGCTAACGAGATGATTCTGGTTAAACCGGGCATTCCTCAGAGCAAGGAAAGATCTTTCAAAAATAGAATCAAGAGAAAGCGCTAGAACCGATGTAAGTAAGATCCGCTACAACTAGAAGTCGATCTGGTACCTTCCTCCGGGTACTCAACAACTAGAGTCATCTCCCTTTCTCCTTTTAGCTTTAGTCGGTCGAGTAGCTTATTCGAACGTTGTGAACTCATTCCTGCCTTTGCAATACCAGCGCATCTTGTGCCACAGAATCGGTTGTGCTCCGCCTCTTCCCCTCTATCAGAAGATTGCCTTGTGTGGAAGGTTGACTCTTCACTTCAGTCAATGGGAGGAATCCCCTTATCTAAGGTTCTTTGTATGGCACTCTAAACTCTCTTTCTTACGCGAGACAGAAAGTTACACTACCGAAGCTCTTTCAACTTGTCCTGTCTTTGTATAAGTATTGCGGTTAAGTCAGTTAACAAGATGAGAGTCGGAAAATTGAAATAAGAACTGTCAAGTGATTCTTGAATGCTTCTACTTATGTAGATGGAGTCCAGTACGCTACTATATATACTGAAAATTCCCAAGACAATATCGGGAGTACCAATCTTATGTGAGATGTAACTAGATCGTCAAACTCTTTCCCGCTATACCCATATCTTCTCAAGGACAAAAGGTATAGCATCACATTTTAACAGACAGATGAAAGCTAGGTCTCTACTCCTTCTTCATGAGGAAGAAAGGCCTTGTTATCATCTAGATCGACGTAAGGAAAGTAAGGTGTAGAGTCCAACTAAGACTTCCATGAAAAGTCTCATTCATGTTGATTGAGGAGTTTCTTATTGACCGCTAAACCTTCTCTACTTTTGAAGATAGACTGGAAAGCAAGCTCAGAGAATAGCTAAGTGGAAGTCAGAGACTCCCTTTTTTAGGAACTTAGACTACCTATGTGCTGGTAAACTCCACCTAGACTGAGATTCATCAGTTCGATCATTTAGTTTGTGTCCTAAGTCCTATATCCGGATCAATTCCTTCTCTAACTTCTACTTGGGGTCACTCCTCGGAAAGATTCTTCATTCGAGTTAGCTTCTTTTCTTAGCTCCTCTCCTTTCAGTCGAGCGATTTCATACCTTCACCTCGTAAACTCGGTAGCTCGGTGGTAGATCGGTTGACAGTTCACGTCGTGATCCGTTGATGAGCGTTGGTTCAAATCAAATCCGAGATTTCTAACTATACATATATAGATTCATAAGTAAGTTCTTCGCTTTCTGAATGAATGTCAGATCGGAACTCAAAGGAGAATGTGGTCATAGGATTTGTTCTCAAATAGATAGATAGATTTGAAATGGCTATCAAAGGTATGTAATGGGGCTAGAAGCAATAGGAATAAGACTTGTTGCGAAGAATACTAGTGAATTTGAATGCCAAAGTTGGCATCATCTTCTGCCGGGATCTCTCCTAACGGCTGTATTAGATTTCGAGTCCCTATTTCAGGAAGAGTTTTAGGGCATTCCACTTACAGCGACGAAGGGAAGATTAGTTATGAATCACTTACACCATCTTGGCTTTAAATGCAAATTCTGTCGATTAAATGCTCAAATCTTAGTCTCAAACCTGACGATAAGACTTTACAATGATTTGCCTTTATGTTCTGTATCCCGGTGCTGTAATGGGCTTCCTCTGAGGATGATTCTAAGAAACCACAACTGCTGTTACTTAACTAGTAGGCTAGAAGCCCTTTCTTTGCTGCCTGTCTGTGCGAATCTAATAGCCAAACAACCGGTTCATGCAACGCGAAATGAAGATAAACCCTTCCCGCTCTAACAATGTGTGAGCAGCCATGGCTCTCTCTTTGACGGTAACTTCTTGAGATAACTAAAAAAAGGCGTAAAGCCAGCCGCATAGGAGAACCTGATTCCAGCCATACTATTAGAAAGTCACTTCTATCTTGAGACTTGTTAGGAGCAGACAGGCTTTTGGCATAGGCAACCTAGCTTACTCGTTTTGATAGTTTCCGCTATGACTATGTTATGTATGTATGTAATTACAGTTTTTGTTGGATATTGTTTAACCTAACCGTAGACTTTCTATTATCTTAGTCAACCTATGAATAGGACCACTGCCTACCGCATTCCTGCCCCGGCCTTTTCTTTCGCCCGACACAATTGATTCGTCATGGGGAACCCGGTTGCTTGTCTCAATCAATTTGATTGCTTTAACTAGTCATGCTATGGAGAATTCCCATGGAGAGCCAACTGCTTCATGCCCCAGATCGCGGGGATTCTTATTGTGTGTGGTCATATTTCCTATTCATTGAGTAAAGGGCCGCGTTAGACCCGCAAGGCTTTCATCGGAGCACATCGCTTTCGCTCCTTAGTTTCTCAGTGGAAGAGGACCTTTCTCGATCAACTATCTTACTTGAATGAAGAAAGAAGTAAACTTTCTATACAAAATTTTCTGAATAGCCGAATAAAGGAATTTTGGGCTTGATAGCCACTCCCCTGAAAAACTGCAAAGAAGACGATTCGCTACTTCCGAATCGCTGCATCCAGCTCCTCCAGTCTCCTCGATTGGCCCCCTTCGACGTTGTGATCCCCTTAGTTCACTATTTTCTTGTATATAGAGTCGAGTGCCTGTCTTTGATTCGGGTTTGGATATTCTACCGTCTTTCCTGCCCCTCTCTCTCTTAATCAAAAGCCCCTTGACCTGTGAGGGTACTTTTCCAGTTAGTTGAGAAGTAGCCATTTGCTTCAAACAGGCACCTTGGAGAAGCTGCTTTCCCTTAACTTTAGAATCCCCAAAACCAGATGAAATAGCTTCAAAATGCTCATACCAATTTGCTGAAATCCATCCGGCACTAAACGAAGTAGGTCGATACCAATAACAGGAACCGAAAGCCGCTCTCTTCCATAAAATAAAGAAGAGCGAAACTCTCGCCTATCCGATCAATGGAAAGAAATGACTCCTAAATCAGTCCCTCAAGCGTCGGAATGTTAATCCACTCCTCCCTAAGGCGCTTTTTAAGCCCTCGGATGAAAGAAGTGCGCGGATAGAGCAAGAACTATGAGCGGGTAAACCGGGGATGAGAGTTGGCTATGAGCTAGACTAGAGGGAAAGCTACGAATCTAAGAGCAATGCGCTAGTCAGCCTAGTAGGATCGGGTAGGTAAATTCAGACAGAAGGGGGTGGCCGCGATGAAAGCTTTTTAAACCTAAAAAAAAGTGTTAATTAAGAGGGAGGTTGTCCGATTCCTTGTGTGATGCCTTTATTTGTTCCCTTTGGCATGATCGTTTCGAAGTTCTTTCTTTCATAAGAAAGTCTTTTTCGGAAATAAAAATAGCTGTTGAGCGGAAGGTTTATTACCACCTCCCCTTGGCTAAGGGCGCAGCATCGGCGGTAAGAGCAGTAGACCCGCCCGCAATGGAAACTGAGCAAATCCCTTTCTCATTATGAACCTACTTTCTTCGCACTCTAAAGCTACTATGGAAAGCCGGTTTCAGGCAGCAAGGAGTGCGATAACATTTTTTAGTTATCACCCGATCTCATGTCTTAGCCAAAACAGGATATAAGAGAACGAAGAGAAAGAGACAAAGAGAAGCGGATTGAACAGCAGCTTTTAAGGAAGGAGTGCTAGCCAGTCCCAAGATAAGGACGGGAGACATAGCTTACTCCATTAAGCTTGAAAGAAAGCTCTGAAAGCCCTGTTTCCAGGTAAGAGCATGGAAGGGTAAGGAATTCATTCAACAGAAGCTAAGGGGCTTATGTCATGGCTTGCTGCATCTCATGTATTCTTTCTCCCAGTCTGTAGAGATCACAGGGACAAAACTATGAATGGCAAGGCGAGTTTCCTCGGGGAGAAGGAAGGGTCCTAGCTCACGAACTTAGCAGACAAACAATCAGTCACGGTCTGAAGGAAGAAAGAGATTGCCCTATCTTCAAAGGAAACTCCTGAGATAGAAGTAGTACGCGCACATATACATATAGTTGGGGCGGGGGCGATATCGGTCTTTTTTCATTCTTTCTCATTACTCGTAAGACCACCTCCAATGTGTGTATTCCCTTGTTCAGTTTCGGTATTTCCTTTCGGATTTAGGAACTGAAGATCTTAACAAGTAGAAAGAGAGAGAACGGATAGGTGATTGTCCTAAGAAGGCGGTTACCGAGGTAAGTGGTTAAGTAGCTAAGTATTGGAAGGAGCTATGCTCTAGTATCTCCTGCTTCTGCTTGTTATTCTGCCTCTTCAAGTGTCCTAAGACTAGTTCCTTTGTAACTAATATCCACTCATAAGAGAAGGAAGATGGGGAGACTCCGAATATCTATTGTCGGAGAATAAGCCGATAGAATATCCTGAGGAGAAGAATCGGATAGGGAGTGAGGTAGCGGTGATCCAAGCAAGATAGTCTGGAGCAAGTGCAAAGAGAATACCTCTGCTGTTAGCTAAGGCTAGTCACTTCAAGTCT